CAAGATACACGCCCTTGACCGGAATCGAACCTGGGACCCTTCAGTCCGCAGTCCCACGCTCTCTCCGCTGAGCCAAACCGGACAGGGCTCTCTGCCTTTTAAAAGCAGTGTTTGTCACCGTTCTTGAAAGTGATCATTGGTGTGATTATGTTTAAACCTATCGACTTGCTAAGGATTTCTATTTGTCGTGTTTCTTTTTTTCTTTTTTTAAATATATTTTATTGATTTTGTACAGAGAGGAAGGGAGAGGGATAGAGAGTTAGAAACATCAATGAGAGAAAGCCATCGGTCAGCTGCCTCTTGCACACCCCCTACTGGGGATGTGCCCGCAACCAAGGTACATGCCCCTGACCGGAATCGAACCCGGGATCTTTCAGTCCCCAAGCCGACGCTTTATCCATTAAGTCAAACCGGTTTTGGCTGTCATGTTTCTTTTTTATTCTGTTTTACTTTAGAGTTTGTTAGTGAAGCAGAGAGACGAGTGAGCTGCTACACAGACCTTCCTTTGCTCCCCTTTCCTCTCTTTATTTTATTTTTTTACTTTTTTTTTTTTCAGAGAGAGAAACATCAATGATGATATAGAATCATGGATCAGCTGCCTCCTGCACACCCCACACTGGGGATCGAGCCCGCAACCCAGGCATGTGCCCTGACCGGGAATCAAACCGTGACCTCTGGGTTCATAGGTTTATGCTCAACCACTGAGCCACCCCAAAGCCGGGCGCCTTTTCCTCTCTTCCTGCCTTCTTTTGGTTTGAGCATTTGTAAGACTTGGTTTTTTTAGAGCAGTTTTCTCAGGGCCTCTGGGAGGCGCTGTGGCTCAGTTCCCCTCCAAATCCCATGATGGCAGGGCTGTGGCGATTTCAGGGCCCAGCTTCTCCCCGGGATCGCTCTCCGCCCTGGACTGATGCCCGGAGTCCTGAGCACTGTACTGTCATTGCTGCACGTATTTCGTCTGGTTTGGGGCTGTTTCATGAAGGCGGGCAAATCCAAGTCTCTGCTCATCTTGCTTGGCAGCGAAACTGCTCATATGTTATTTTAAAATAAAGATTTCCTTGCCGAAACTGGTTTGGCTCAGCAGTAGAACGTCGGTCTTCGGACTGAAAGGTCCCAGGTTCGATTCCGGTCAAGGACATGTACCTTGGTTGCGGGCACATCCCCAGTAGGGGGTGTTCAAGAAGCAGCTGGTCGATGTTTCTCTCTAATTGACGTTTCTAGCTCTCTTTCTCTCTGTAAAAAAAAAAATCAATAAAATATATTTTTAAAAAATAAAAAAATTAAAGATTTCCTTTTTAAAAAAATATATTTTATTTTTTTTACAGAGAAGAAGAGAGTCAGAAACATCGATGAGAGAGAATCATCAATCAGCTGCCTCTTGCACACCTCCCACTGAGGATGTGCCCACAACCAAGGTACATGCCCTTGACTGGAATCGAACCTGGGACCCTTGGGTCTGCAGGCCGACGCTCTAACCACGGAGAACACCGATTCTGGCCAAAGATTTACTTTTTTGTTTTTAATAGATGTTTATTGATTTCAGAGAGGAAGGGAGAGTAGAAACATTCATGGTGAGAGAGAATCATTGATGGGCTGCCTCCTGCACTCCCCTCCCCACTGGGGATCCAGCCTGCAACACGGGCATGTGCCCTGACCAGGAATTGGACCATGACCTCCTGGTTCATAGGTCGACGCTCAACCACAGAGCCACGCCTGCGAGGAAAAATATTTACTTTTTTTAAAAGTGTCAGGCCAGGTTCATTGGCGGGAAATCAGGCCTAGGCCGCCTGAGTCACTGGGTAGTTTGCAAACATCCAGCCAACATCAGTCAGCACACACTTCCGTTTCAGGACCCGGTCTCAGCCACTAGGGGGCAGTGTGAGAGAGCAAAGCAGCCCCAATAACACAGAGCTGGCCCCTAGGGTCACAGGGCATAGTCACAGGAAGGAAGCCCCCCGAAATCGGAGTGGGTTTCTGTTTCCCAGCTTCAGGCCCTCACATCGAAAGCTGCCTTGAACATCACTTGCTGATTGCAAACTGGAAATAATGAGGGGGCATGGAGCAGTTCCTATGGCACGGGGCACTCGGGACCAACAAGCCCTGATCCCGAAACCCCCCGGAACGTCCTCGTGTGCGTGTTGGGATTCGGGGTTTTCAGTTTCGAGGGGCAACGTGGTGTATAGCCCACAGGGCACCGCGTCCCCTCAGGACCCCACAGGACAGGTGCAAGCGTCCCCGTCCGTGTTCCCGCAGGAAGCAGGTGAATACGCCCACCAGGTGGGGACATCGTCTCCGAGCGGCCCCTGACAGGGCGGGTCAGGTGCGGCTGCTCTTTGGATTTCAGAAATTTCTTTTTTTTTCCCCCGCACTTTTTTTTTCTTTATTTTATTTTTTAAAAATATATTTTATTGATTTTTTTACAGAGAGGAAGAGACAGGGATAGAGTTAGAAACATCGATCAGTTGCCTCTTGCACACCCCCTACTGGGGATGTGCCCACAACCAAGGTACATGCCCTTGACCGGAATCGAACCTGGGACCTTTCAGTCCGCAGGCCGGCGCTCTATCCACTGAGCCAAACCAGTTTCGGCTTTTTTTTTCTTTTTTCTTTTAAAATATATTTTATTGATTTTTTTTTTTACAGAGAGGAGGAGAGAGGGATAGAGAGCTAGAAACGTCGATGAGAGAGAAACATCGACCAGCTGCCTCTTGCACACCCCTCACTGGGGATGTGCCCGCAACCAATGTACATGCCCTTGCCTGGAATCGAACCTGAGACCTTTCAGTCCGCAGACCGACGCTCTATCCACTGAGCCAAACCGGTTTCGGCTCGGCTTTTTTTTTTTTTTTTTTTTTTTTTTTGATTAAGGTATTACATACGTGTCCACATCCCCTCATTGCCACCCCCACCCTCCCCCAATCCTGCCCTCACCCCCTGTGTCCATTGGTTAGGCCAGCGGTCGGCAAACTGCGGCTCGCGAGCCACATGTGGCTCTTTGGCCCCTTGAGTGTGGCTCTCCCACAAAATACCACATACAGTACGATGGAAACTTCGAGGCCCATGCGCAGAAGTCTGTTTTCAGCTCTCAAAAGAAATGTCAGTCGTTGTCCTGTTGATATTTGGCTCTGCTGACTCATGAGTTTGCCGACCACGGGGTTAGGCCTATGTGCATGCACACACAGCCTTTGGTTGATCTCTCCCACCTCACCCCTGCCCTCCCCTGCCTTCCCTCTGAGGTTTGAGCATCTGATCGATGCTTCTCTGTCTCTGGATCTGTTTTTGTTCATCGGTTTATGTTGTTCATTATATTCCACAAATGAGTGAGATCATGTGATATTTATCTTTTTTTAAAGAATTTTTTTTTTGGGGGGGTTGTTTGTTTGTTTGTTTTAGAGAACAAGGGAGAAGGGGAAACATCCATGAGAGAGAACCATCCATCAGCTGCCAGGGTTCGGGCCCCACAACCCAGGCAGGTGCCCTGACATCAAAGCTGGCGACCCCTCGCTGAAACCGGTGTGGCTCAGTGGATAGAGCGTCACCCTGCGGAATGAAGGGTCCCAGGTTCGATTCCGGTCAAGGGCATGTACCTTGGTTTTAGACACATCCCCAGCGGGGGTTGTGCAGGAGGCAGCTGATGGATGTTTCTCTCTCATCGATGTTTCTAACTCTCTCTCCCTCTCCCTTCCTCTCTGTAAAAATCAATAAAATATATTTAAAAAAAAAAAAAAAAAAAAAGTTGGTGACCTCTCACTGCCCAGGACAAGGCTCCAGCCAACCGAGCCGCACCGGCCAGGGTAGGTTTCAGGATTGAGAGAGAGGGCCCACGAGGCCGGCGACACCCATCCCCCCTTCCCTTGCAGGCGCCGCCCCGGTCTGCATTTAGAGGTGTCACCCTCTTGTGTGGAGTGTTTGCTGCCAGATGGAGATCGTCCTGTTAGCGCCCAGCTCCTTCCCACCTGCCTGAAGCGCCTTCTGCCATCTTCACGCCCGAGGCCTATTTCCGGCTGCCTGTTCCGGCCCAGGATGGCCGCCTTCCCGCGTCAGGACACGGCGCTGCTTTTAGAATCAGTGGGAGTGGTGTGTGTGTGTGTGTGTGTGTGTGTGTGTGTGAGTGTGTGTGTGTGAATAGCAATCCCTGTGGACCCCCTGCAGAGCCTGGGGTGTGTGTGTGTGTGTGTGTGTGTGTGTGTGAATAGCAATCCCTGTGGACCCCCTGCAGAGCCTGGGGGGTGTGTGTGTGTGTGAATAGCAATTCCTGTGGACCCCCTGCAGAGCCTGGCGTGTGTGTGTGTGTGTGTGTGTGTGTGTGTGTGTGTGTAAGTGTGTGAATAGCAATCCCTTCCGAACCCCTGCAGAACCTGGTGTGTGTGTGTGTGTGTGAATAGCAATCCCTTCCGAACCCCTGCAGAACCTGAGGGGTGTGTGTGTGTGTGTGTGTTTGAATAGCAATCCCTGTGGACCCCCTGCAGAGCCTGGTGTGCGTGTGTGTGTGTGTGTGTGTGTGTGTGTGTGTGTATAGCAATCCCTGTGGACCCCCTGCAGAGCCTGGGATGTGTGTGTGTGGGTGTGTGTGTGTGTGTGTGTGTGTGAATAGCAATCCCAGGAGTTCAGAACCCCTGCAGAGCCTGGCTTGGGACAGAAACTCCAGGAGGCCGAGCTGAAGGGGCAGGTCTCCCCACCCAACCAGGAGGTCAGACCGGGGAGGGGAGAGAGAGGAAGGGGAGAGAGCTGCTTGTAAAATAAAGTCTTCCCTTTTATTTCAAATGAACCCATTCCCAAGTTAGTGCCACGAGTGGAGATCAGAGTCCCTTCGCCCGCCCGCTGGGGCGTGGGGTGGGGTGGGGGGGCGCTCGTGTCCTCCGGGGCTGGCCCCGGGCCCCGGCCTCCTCCTGGGCTACAGGCTAGGGGCCGGGGGGCGAGGCGGGCGGGCGGGGGCATCCTGTCTGGGGCCGTGGCCGTGGCGTGGCCGGGCCGTGGTTAGCGGGGGAGCCCCGTCGGGCCGGTTAGTGGGGCCTTCTCCGGCTGCCCGGGAAGGAGCTGCAGAGAGAGAGAGGCGGTGATGGGCCGGCGGGAAGGCCACGGTGCCCGGCTCCCCGACCCGGGTCACTCCCTCGCTCACCGGGGAGGGGGCACAGGCTCCCGCCGGGCGCGGAGAAGAGGCTCAGATAGATGACTGCCACTGCACGAAGCGCTTGGATTCCTGGGGGTTGGGGGTCAGAGGAGGCGTGACATGGGCATCTGGTTTGTAGTGTGGGCCCCGCCTCCGCCCTCAGACCAGGAGCCCAGCCTCCTCCCTCAGACCAGGAGCCCAAGTCACAGCCTCCTTCCTCAGACCCAGGAGCCCAGCCCCTCCTCCCTCAGACCAGGAGCCCCGCCTCCGCCCTCAGACCAGGAGCCCAGCCTCCTCCCTCAGACCCAGGCCCCCAGCCTCCTCCCTCAGACCAGGAGCCCAGCCCTCCTCCCTCAGACCAGGAGCCCAAGTCACAGCCTCCTCCCTCAGGCCCAGGAGCCCAGCCTCCTCCTCCCTCAGACCAGGAGCCCAGCCCTCCTCCCTCAGACCCAGAGTCCAGGCCCCCAGCTCCTCCTCCCTCAGACCCAGGAGCCCAGGCCCCCAGCCTCCTCCCTCAGACCAGGAGCCCCGCCTCCTCCCTCAGACCAGGAGCCCAGTCCCCCAGCCCCTCCTCCCTCAGACCAGGAGCCCAGTCCCCCAGCCCCTCCTCCCTCAGACCCAGGCCCCCAGCCCCTCCTCCCTCGGACCCAGGAGCCCAGTACCTGAGGGTTGAAAGGATCATCATCGTCTGTGTCATCATAGTCGTCACTGGGGGGTGGGTTTGAGTGGCAGAGGAGGAGGATGGGTAATGAATGCATCAGGAGGCTGTCCCCCCAACAGGACACCCCCACCCCCCACCTCGTGGCCTCCTCCCACCTCCTCCGTCCCCCCCTGACCTGGGCGGGAACTGGGCCCAGGCGCGGGGCAGGCTGCAGAGGGCGGTGGCCAGGGCCCCGGCGGACAGGAGGGAGAAGAGCAGCAGGAAGAGCAGGCCCTCGAGGGTGTCTTCGCACAGGCCCCGCAGGGCGGCGCTGTAGTCCTGGGGGTGGGGGGTGGGTTAGGCCATCAGCGGGCAAGACCCCCTTCCCTCCCCTCCCCCTACACCCGCCACTCACACTGCCCTCACTCCGGCTGTGCCATGCTGGGCAAGTCCCTCAGCCTCTCTGTGCCTCAGTTTCCCCCCATCCTACGTGCTCAGCTCAGAGTCCGGCACACAGGAAGCGTTGGGCGCACAGTAGGGGCTTTGGTGGCTGTCATCATCACACCCACAGGGAGGACCTCGGATCTGGGCCCCTGCGGGTCTGAGAACCCTCTTCCCCGCCCCCGTTGTGACAACCAGATGCACCCCCATGCACTGCCCTGTGTCCCCGGGCCACGTGCCCCTGGCGGGAGCCGCAGCAGAGCCCTGGGGTTGGGGGGCGGGGTGACGGCAGATGAACATCCAGGAGACAGAAGTGAGGAGACTGGGGGCCGCCTGGCTGGGGGGCCATGGGATGGGGAACAAGGGGGGCGAGGGCCTGGAACCAGGTCCCTGCCTCCGTGGAGCGCAGGGGACCCCCAACCTCGGTGACCCAGCCCTGTGTACTTCCTCGTGCAAGTCTGCCAGACAGACAATAACAGCAGTTCCTTCTTTACGGCATTACTCACGAGGGCCCCAGGGCCCGGTGAGTCACCACCCCTAAATAGCCCTGAGCCCCCACTCAGTGCAGCCCACGGGCATGCGTGGGACGGCTGGTGTTCCTGAACTCTCACACCGCCCCGCCTAGCAGGTCCGGATGCCCTCATCTCACGGGTGAGGAGGTGGAGGGTCAGGGGGTGCGCCTGCCGGGGCCAACCCAGCCACATCGGAGCTGTGGGACCCCGGGCTCCCTCCCTCCGGGGTGTCCTGCCCGTCCCTGCCTCGGCAGGATGACAGCACACGCCACACGAGAGCGTGGCAGGCATTCACCCTGAATCCCGGCCCTGTAAGTGAGGACACTGAGGCACAGAGAAGTCGGTGACCTCCCTCCAGAGCTCACTAAGTGCACAGCCTTTAGGAGGCAGATGGGGAGACAGAGAGGGAGGGAGAGAGAGAAAGGGGGGGGACGGGGAGGAGAGTGGGTGGGCTGGAGGGAGAAGCGGGAGATGAGGGGTGGGGAGAGAGGGAGGAGGGCAGGAAATAAGGAAGGATTCTAGCCGACAGATGGACAGATGGCTAATGGGTGGAGAATAGTGTATGACATATAAACAACAGTTTTAAGACCGATAACTGGATCTCTGGGGGGAGAGGGGCAGTGGGAAAAGCCTGGCCGGTGGGAGAGAGGGAGCAGGCCTTGGGGGTCCCGGCAGAGAATGAGGTGGGGCGGGGTCCTGGGTCACCTTGTGCAAGCCTCGGCAGTGCAGTAGCGCCACCAACTGGTGGAAGTTTCCCTCCGTCACGTTCAAGGTCTCCTCCAGGGACAGCAGAGGTTTCTGAGGTGGGAAGGGGTCCTTAGCCCACCTGGGACCTGTCCCTGGCCGGGCCCCGCCCATCTCTCCAGGCACCGCCCACACGTCCAGGCCACGCCCCTTTATTTAGGTAACGCCCAGGCTCACCGATGCAACCCTCGGGGCCCGCCCACGCCACAAGGCCACGCCCAGATCTATTAGCCACCATGCCCCACCCACAGCCACGCCCACCGACACGCCCTATCAACGGACCCTGCCCACAGGTCAGGACCACGCCCACCAACTGGGTCTCATGGCCACGCCCACTTCCTGACCACGTCCTATTGGTGCCCCTGTCCATCCTGTGGCCCCACCCATATTTCAGGGCCACGCCCAGATTTATTAATTACCATGCCCTACCCACAGCCACGCCCACCGACCCGCCCTTTCAGTGGGCCCCGCCCATAGTTCAGGGTCACGCCCACCAACCGGTCTCATGGCCACGCCCACCTCCCGACCATGCCCATCAAACATGCCCTTTTGGTGCCCAGTCCTATCTTTGGCCCCGCCCATATCTCAGGGCCACGCCCACCGACCATCCTTTCCTGGCCACGCCCATAGATCAGGGCCACGCCCACAGATCTGGCCCCGCCCTCTCCCTGGGAGCCCGTTGTGGGCACAGCGCCACCTACCTGCGCGGAAGGGAACTGGGGCACAGCCTCTCGCTCCAGGCCCTGCAGCTGGGAGTGGATGTTGGCCAGCGCCCGCTGGGACAGGGTCAGCCTCTGCGGGGACACAGGGAGAGAGGGTGGAGGACCCCGTGGTCCACGCCCCCGGCCCGCTCCTCCCCCGAGACACAGGACTGGGGTCCCTGGCGCCTCCATGCTCCCCCAGGACCCTGCAGTCCAGGCCCCAGGCCCCAGCCCCGCCCCCTCCACCCGGTTCCCGGGCTGCAGCCCTCACCTGTTGAAAGGGGTTGGCGATGGCCTGGTTGCAGAGGAAATAATAGCTCAGGATGTCTGAGGCAGGAGGGAAGAGGGGAGGGAGGCCGTGAGCTGGAAGGGGCCCCTCCCCAGCTGGGGGTCCCCCCTGAGCTCCCAGGGGCCTGGCATTGGGAGACCGGCCGCTCCCCCAGTCTCCACACTCCACCTGCTGCCGAGATCCTGCCTGGACCAGACTGCAGGTTTCTCCATGTGGCCAGATCCCCCGTCCCTCAGGCCCCGCCCCCCTCCTGAGCCCAGCATCTTCATCCCTCCGTCTCCTCCAGCCCACCCGGGAGGTGCTGAGAGCCTCAGGGACCCGAGGGGCACCCCCCATCCCCCCCCCCCCCAGGCAGGACGGGACACAGAGGCCTGAGCATCCACGGGTGCACCGGGCCACCGGGGTCACCTGAGTCGAGCCCCGTCTCCTCCTGAGTCAGGTTCAGGATGTAGGTGTCGGGACTGGAGCAGAAGTCGCTGAGGCCCTGGGAGGGGCAGCAGGAAAGAGGGCTCAGGCCAGAAGCCGCCCCAATGCCACACCCCCATGGACTCAGTGACCCCAGCCTCCTCCCTCAGACCCAGGGGCCAGGCCCCCAGCCTCCTCCCTCAGACCCAGGGGCCAGGCCCCCAGCCTCCTCCCTCAGACCCAGGAGCCTAGGCCCCCAGCCCTCCTCCTTCAGACCCAGGAGCCCAGGCCCCAGCCCTCCTCCCTCAGACCCAGGAGCCTAGCCCCCCAGCCCTCCTCCCTCAGACCCAGGAGCCCAGCCTTTTCTCCCTCAGACACAGGAGCCCAGGATCCCAGCCCTCCTCCCTCAGATCCAGAAGCCCAGCCCCCCAACCCCTCCTCCCTCAGACCCAGGAGCCCAGAACCCCAGCCCCTCCTCCCTCAGACCCAGGAGCCCAGGTCCCCAGCCCTCCTCCCTCAGACCCAGGAGTCCAGGCCCCCAGCCCCTCCTCCCTCAGACCCAGGAGCCCAGAACCCCAGCCCCTCCTCCCTCAGACCCAGGAGCCCAGGCCCCCAGCCCTCCTCCCTCAGACCCAGGAGTCCAGGCCCCCAGCCCCTCCTCCCTCAGACCCAGGAGCCCAGAACCCCAGCCCCTCCCTCAGACCCAGGCCCCCAGGCCTTTAGGACCAGAAAACTAGTCCTTTAACCTCAGAACCTGTGACCCCCCCTCCCACCCCCCAGATCCGGGGCCCGGCCTCTGACTCACCACGGTGGCCGCGGCCTCCAGGCCCAGGGAGCCCCAGCTCAGCACCAGGACCACGAGGCTCATCACCGTCATCCTGGGGGGCGGGAGGGATTGGACTCGGGGCCCTGCATCTCTCCCCCTGGCCTCGTCCCTGTCCCCACCCCAAAGCCCTTCTCAGCTCACCCCAGACCTCTGGAGCCTGGAGGGTCAGAATTAGGGGCGGAGAAGGTGGAGGGGTGGGTGGGCCTGTGGTGGCTGATGTCAGACTGGACATCTGGTCCCTGCCCAGGAGGCGGGGTGGGGATGGGGGCTGGGGGGGGCAGTGAAAAAAGCCCTGGGCTGGCAGGACCCAGCCCAGCTCGGCCCCACCGTCTGGGACCCCCAGGGGACTCCTGCCCACAGCTGGGCCCCCTTTCCCGGCTGTGAATTTTGCCAGACCCCTTCATCCCCACCCCCAGCTCTCTCTTGGGTAGCCACCTGCCCCCTAAGACTGCTCCTCCCAGGAGTGGAGACGGCTCCAGGGCTGAATTTGCCTCCCAGTTTCTCTCTGGGGACAGGATTTGCGGGGGGCGGGGTGGTGGTGGTTAGCACTGTAACACTGGAGGGTGGGCAGCAGGCATGACGGGCATCTGGGGGGCCCAATCCATGCCCTGACAGACCAGGGCCAGGTTTTACCATCTCCACGGCCCTGGGGGAGAGTGGAGACCACGTGGGCACCAGCACAGCCCCCTCCCCACTCGGGACAGCGGCCCAGGGGCAGGCAGGAGGCAGACCCAGCGCCAGCACTGCCTGGCTGGGCAGCCTCTGAGCCCGAATCCCCCCACACCCCCCGTTCAATGGAAGGTAAGTGCCTCTTCCTGGGGTAGGCGCGAGGGTTCTGAGAGGGCGTGGGGCACATAGAACGAGCTCAAAAGCCACGCCAAGCCACGTCAAGGCCACGCAGCCTCACGCGTGGTCACCTCCCACCTCTGGTCCCTCATCCCCACGGTGGGCTCCTCCTGGCGGCTCCAGGTCTGGTTTCTGCCCCTGAGCCGGCTGCCCACCCACCCAGGATCTCCATGGGGGTCACGGAGGCTCATGGGATGCAGGAAGTAGCCAGTGGGAGCCCCAGAGGGAGGAGGGAGGAGGCCGGGGGTCCCTTGCTCAGGAGCACATAAGGGTGGAGGGAGGAGGGCTCAGGAGCACAGAGGGGTGGAGTGAGGAGGGCTCAGGAGCACAGAGGGGTGGAGGGAGGAGGGCTCAGGAGCACAGAGGGGTAGAGGGAGGAGGGCTCAGGAGCACAGAGGGATGGAGCTCCGCCCGGGTGTGGGGACAGGAGCCTGCAAGGGCGCCCAGACTCACATGATCACCAGCCACTTGCTCTGCTTGGCCAGGCCCAGGAGGGTGAAGAGGCAGACCAGCAGCTCCAGCAGCAGCAGGAGGACGTAGGCCAGCCACCTGGGGGGCGGGGGGGAGGAGGGGAAGAGAAAGGGGGTGCAGCTGAGGAAGCACATCCAGCCTCCCAGCTGATAGGTCCTCCCGTCCCCCAACTGATGGACGGAGAATGACATAGACTCCACCTGCAGCCGGACATACCTAACCAGGCACCTTACATGGACTGTACATTGAACCTCCAATCAGCCCCTGCCAAATACCCTAAGAACCCCCCATTCCTAAGTCCCTAGGTCCCTAATCATGTGCCTTACATGAAACCACCAATCAGTGTGTGCCGAGTGCCCTAAGCCCCGCCCCCTTTCCTCCCCTCTTTCCCCTCTGGAAGGCAGCCCAGCAGTGGTCTTCTCTCCAGTAAAGCCTGCATCCTGGTTCTCCGGCCCTCTATTTCATCTTTCACCAGCCCCAGGCCCCAGATCCAGCAGGAAGCCATGGCCACGCCCCCCTCCCAGCCCACCACCAGGTCCCCAGACCACTGCCCAGCTCATCTGAGAAATGGGTACTGGGGAGGCGGGCCACCCTCCTTGCTTCTCTCCAGAGGACAGGTCCCGGGGAGGGGCACCTGGGACCATGGCCTGAGTGGACCACGCAGGAGCTCTGTGACCTGTGACCCTGCCCATGTGACCAGCCTCAGTGGCCCAGCCCCCGCCCGCCTCCTGTTCACTGCACAGCCCAAGGGCATGGCGTCTGGGGCAGCCTGCCTGGTCTCCACTGCTTAGCGGTGTGCGAGGGGGTCTCAGTAACTCTGCCTCAATTTCCCCGCCGGGAATGGGGGAAGAGAGACAACAGCACCTACTTCTAGAGATTGCATAAGCCAGGCCGGTGGGGCTCAGTGGGTGAGCATCAACCTATGAACCAGGAGATCATGGTTCAATTCCTGTCAGGGCACATGCCTGGGTTGCAGGCTGGATCGCCAGGGTGGGGTGTGCAGGAGGCAGCCAATCCATGATTCTCTCTCTCATTGATGTTTCTGTCCTTCGCCCCCTCTCCCTTGCCTCTCTGAAATCAATTACAGAGAGGAAGGGAGAGGGATAGAGAGTTTAGGAACATCGAAGAGAGAGAAGCATCTATCAGCTGCCTCCCACTGCCCTCCCCCCCCCCCCACTGAAGATGTGCCCGCAACCAAGGTACATGCCTTTGACCAGAATCAAACCTGGGACCCTTCAGTCCCCAGGTGGACGCTCTATCCACTGAGCCAAACTGGCTAGGCCAATGGTTGGCAAACTCATTAGTCAACAGAGCCAAATATCAACAGTACAACGACTGGAATTTCTTTAGAGAACCACATTTTTAAAACATAAACTTCTAACACCACTTCTTACAAATAGACTCGCCCAGGCCGTGATATTTTGTGTAAGAGCCACAGTCAAGGGGCCAAAGAGTTGCATGTGGCTCGAGAGCTACAGGTGTGTTTTTTTTTGTTTGTTTGTTTGTTTTTGTGTGTGTGTGTGTGTGATTTTTTTAATGTATTTTATTGATTTTTCACCGAGAGGGAGGGAGAGGAATAGAAAGATACATCAATGAGAGAGAGAAACATTGATCAGCTGCCTCCTGCACACCCCCTACTGGGGATGTGCCCATAACCAAGGTGCATGCCCTTGACTGGAATCGAACCTGGGACCCTTCAGTCCGCAGGCCCAGGCGTTATCCACTGAGCCAAACCAGTTAGGGCGCGAGCGGAAGTTTGCTGACCACGGGGTTAGGGCGATAAAAAATATTTTTTTCAAAAGGGTTACATGAGGGTAATGAGTGAGAAGTATCCGTGGATGGAGCATTGGCCTGCGGACTGAAAGGACTTTTAGATGTTACTTAATAACTCAGTGTCCGCCAATAATAATTCACGGATGAGAGGAGGACACACGTGAGGCCCCGGGCACAGAGCCTGGCACGTGGCAGGGGTTGGATAAACAGCATGTTCTGAGGGACCCCCAAAGCTGGCAGGGACTGGGGTGCCTAGGTGGCCCCAGGTGACCTCAGGTCTTTGCTCTCTATGTCTGTGACGCCAGCTCCCCCTTCCTCCGAGGGCAGGCTCTGTTGACTAATGAGTTTGCCGACCACTGTCCTAGCCGGTTTGGCTCATTGGATAGAGTGTTGGACTGTGGACTCATGGGTCCTGGGTTTGATCCCGGTCAAGGGCACATTCCCAGGTTTCGGGATCCATCCCCAAGAGGGGGCATGCAGGAGGCAGCCGATAAATTATTCGCTCTCATCATTGATGCTTCTGTCTCTCTCTCTCCCCCTCCCGTTCTCTCTGAAATCAATATAAAAATATTTAAAACAAATAAACAGAGGGACTGGTAAACCGGTGAATTCTTGGGCATCCCTTAGCCCAGTGGTCGGCAAACTCATGAGTCCACAGAGCCAAATATCAACAGTGCCACGATTGAAATTTCTTTGGAGAGCCACATTTTTAAAACTTAAACTATTAATATATAGGTAGGCACATTGTTACTAACTTAATTAGGGGTACTCCTAAGCTGGCCTTTGCTAAAAAAACGTCCTCAATCGCCGAAACCGGTGTGGCTCAGTGGATAGAGCGTTGGCCTGCGGACTGAAGGGTCCCAGGTTCGATTCCGGTCAAGGGCATGAACCTTGGCTGCGGGCACATCCCCAGTAGGGAGTGTGCAGGAGGCAGCTGATTAATGTTTCTCTCATTGATGTTTCTGACTCTCTATTCCTCTCCCTTCCTCTCTATAAAAAAATCAATTATATACATACATATATATATATATATATATATATATATATATATATATATATATATTTTTTTTTTTTTTTTTTTTTAAAGTCCTGTCGAAACCGGTTTGGCTCAGTGAATAGAGCATCCGCCTGTGGACCGAAGGGTCCCATGTTCGATTCCAGTCAAGGGCGTGTACCTTGGTGGTGGGCACATCCCCAGTGGGAAGTGTGCAGGAGGCAGCTGACCGATGTTTCTCTCTCATTGATGTTTCTGACTCTCAATTCCTCTCCCTTCTTCTCTGTAAAAAAATCAATAAAATATATTAAAAAAAAAAAAAAAAAAAGTCCTCAATCTGATTGAGGTACATGCAAGACGCCAAAGAGCCGCGTGTGGCTTGAGAGCCGCGGTTTTGCGGACCATTTCCTTAGTCTGTCTCTTCATTGCTACTGGGGCCGGGCCGCCCTGTCTGAGGGCCCCCCTGTGCATTGTGGGACGTTAAGCGAGCAGCGAACCGGCCCCCCCCCCAGATGCCCACTTGTGCCCACCACCTGTGTCTCCAGGCATCGCCCACTGCCCGCTGGGGCACTGCCCCCAGGGAGAGCCCTGCCCACCCACCTGTACTCCTCCACGAAGGACACGTCCTCGGCCACCTGCAGGGGGCTCAGCGGCACCCCCTGCCAGAAGGCCAGCCCCCCAAGCTGCTGGGCCACGGCCTCCGCCTGCCGCCGGGCCCCCCGCGTGGCGGCCACCAGCTCCGTGCGCTGGGCGAACACCTCCTCCAGGGTGGTCAGCTCCGTCCGCACCGCCTCGCCCAGCCTCTCCACCGACTCCGACACCTGGGGGCCGGGGAGGGGCTGGGTCAGGGGCGGGCGGGCGTGCTCAGGGGGCCCAGGGGTGGTGGTGGGGGGACGGGAATGCGAAGGAGGAATGAAAACTTGGGGGCCTCAGCGTGGAGCCCCAGGGACCAGCTGAGGGATAAGCAAGGGCTGGTGCCTGGGATCTGGGGCGACTGGGATTGAGAAAGGGCCAGAGGGGGCTCTCCGGCTCCTGGGGGGAGGGGCATGGGCTGGAGCCCCCGGGCCCGGAAGAGAAGTCTGTGTGGGGTCCTACGTGTGAGGTACACGCCCGCCTGAATGAGTCTGCGGTCCCATCTGGGTCCTGTGGCCCGGGGTCTGCCCAGGACAGGAATCTGGGGTATCGGGGTCAGGCTGGTCTCATCCTGGGGCTGGGCCGGGAGTGGGGCTCCTTGGTCTGGTCCCTGGAGCTCACCACTGGGCTTCCCCTAAGTTTGCACTTGGGCCCAGAATCAGGTCTCTATTTGGGCCGGGAGCTGAAGTAGGGGAAAGGGTCGGGGAGGTGGGGTGTCCCTGGTGTTTGGTCTTTGGTTTGGGCTCTGAAGAGAAGTCTGGGGCCTGGGCTAGGGGTGAATGTGGGGGGTCACGTGGGAGGCCCTGATTTGCACAGTCAGGGTGGGCTCGGCCCCGACCGCTGGGTTCTGAAATTCTGAGCCCGCAGCCCCACAAAGTCGGGTCTGGGGTCTAGGCTCCGGGTCTGCATTCCGCTGCTGCCCGGCCCCTCACCAGGGCATCCACGGCGCTGAGCGTGTGGTTGGCCTGCAGCAGCGCCGCGCTGAGCTGGGCCACCCCATCGCTGGTCTCGCTGTTGCCATAGAAACCGATGCCAATGCCCGCGCTGCGAGGAGGAGGGAAGGATGGGAAATCACAACTGGGTCCTGGGATCCGAGGAGGGACCGCTGTTCCCGTCTTCCCCCACCCCCACCCCCCAACGTCGTCCTCACACACCCAATCTCCCCCCAACACACAACACACCCCGATTGGTCCAGCCCATCGTGGGAAAATAACGGCTCCAGCCCGGGTTGCCACGGCAACGGGAAGGCTTCCCACCCCCGGCCCGAGAGACGTCATTGTGATGCTAATGGAAGGTGGGGTGGCGGCGAGGGGAGGGGGGGACTCCAGACTTAACTCGCTTGACACCACCGGAGCGGAACCCGTCACCCCAGCCCCTCCCCTCCCCCCATCACACCCCTCCCCCTCCTCTCCATCTTTTCCCACGCACCCAGGGTCCCCAGCACCTGTCCCTCCACCGTCCAGCCCGCCCCCCTTCCCCCGCAGCCTGGGGTTTCCTGGGGGACCCGAGCCTGGAGCTCGCCCACCAGGCCACCCCCCCACACCCCCTCCCATTCCGGGATCCAAGCTTCTGGCCAGCTGGGAGCCAAGCAAGGGAATGTGGGCCGCTCCGCCTCCCCCTCCTCCCCTTCAGGGCCAACACAGAGCCCCATTGTGGGCCGGCCTCGGCCTGGGGCCCATCCCCCGCACCCCAGAGTCCCTCCTCGGCGGGCCAGGGCCAGGCCGAGGCGGGGGAGCCGGTGTCCTCCCACTTCCCAGGCTCGAAGCCCGGGTCCCCCCGCCCCCACCCCCGCCCTCGGACCTCCCACCCCCCTTTGCGCGCAGGCCCGCCACTCCCCGCGCGCCCCCCCCCCGCCCCCCGCGCATTGTTTCCATCCCACAAAGCTGCCCTTGTTCTGGCCCGGGGCGCCGGCCGGGGCTCTCCCCCACCGGGCCTTTGTCCGCTGCCTCCCCGGCCACCCCCAAGGCCCCCAGAGCCTGGACACAGGCCACCCAGCCGCCTCTCCCACATCTACACCGCCCCCCTCTCCACCTCCCCAAACACAGACTCTGTCCCTGCGCCCTGGAGAGGCAGAGCCGGGCCAGGGCCAGGGGTGGGAGGGAGGCAGGCTTTCTGGCTACCCACCTCCCCTCTCCCCCATCCCGGCTGGTCTCCCTCCTGAGCCCTCCCCTCGGGGACAGGGCAGCTGGCCGGCCGGCCCCGGTGGGGGTGGCTCTGCCCGCAGGCTGTGCGCCCGGCTGGCCCCTGGGGCGTATGGGGTGTCAAGCACGCTCCCCCTGGGGCTGTCCCTGAAGAAGGGCCAGGGACTCCCAAGGGTTTGCCACTTGGGCCCCGTGACCTTGAAATGAAGCTTCCTCATTTTTTTCTTTTTAAAAACTTCATCCTCGCCCTGGCCGGTGTGGTTCAGTGGATAGAGCGTTGGCCTGCGGACTGGAGGGTCCCAGGTTCGATTCCAGTCAAGGGCATGTACTTTGGTTGTGGGCACATCCCCAGTGAGGAGTGTGCAGGGGGCAGCTGACAGATGTTTCTCTCTCATTGATGTTTCTAACTCGCTATTCCTCTCTATAAGAAATCAATAAAATATATTTTCAAAAATGTAATCCTTGCCCTAGTCGGTTAAGGCTCAGTGGATAGAGCGTCGGCCTGCGCTGAGGGGTCCCAGGTTCCATTCCGATCAACATCATGTATGTGCCTTGGTTGCGGGCACATCCCTGGTAGGAGGCGAGCAGGAGGCAGCTGATGGATGTTTCTCTCTCATTGATGTTTCTCTCTCTCCCTCTCCCTTCCTCTCTGTAGGAAATCAATAAAATATATTTTAAAAATCAATAAAAAAATTTAATCGTCACCCGAGGATTTTTCCCATTGATTTTTAGAGAGAGTGGAAGAGAGAGGTATATTGTTATGAGAGAAACACATGGATGGGGTGCCTCCTGCAGGTGCTGGGACCAGGATCCAGGGCCAGGGAGGAGCCTGCAAACGGAGGTACCTGCTCTTGACCAGAATGGAACCCGGGACCCTTTGGCCCGCAGGCCCACGCTCTATCCACTGAGCCACACCGGCCAGGGCTGAGCCTTCCTCTTTCAGAACCGGGGTAACAGCCCGGAGTCCAGCAGGGTTACTGCAGGGGGACCGGCTCAGGGGTGGGCCAGGAGGGGGTGGTGGTCTATCTCCTGGACCAGAACATCAGCACCATGAGGGCAGCGACCTAGCCAGGCTTGCTCAGCATCTCCTGGCGCGTAGTAGGTCCTCAAGGAGAGGTGGCTGGTGAACATGAACCAAGTACAGCTGTGAGCCGGGCGCCGTGCCTTCTCCTATTCACGGTTAACCACCAGGAGGTGGGCGTTGCCATGATACCCATTTTAGAGATGTGGAAACTGAGGCCAGGATGGTGCTAGATCCCTCCCCGGTGCAGCACAGCCACGGGCAGCATAGTCGGACCACCCAGCTCTGACACCTCCCCACCCCCAGCTCATCCTGCCAGGCCGGCTGCCCTGGGAGAGGCGGGGGGGGGGGGGGGGGCTCCTGAGCCTCAGTCTTTCCATCCATCCAACGGGGACAGGTTTGGAGGTGGCCCGTGGAAGCCTGGCAGAGAGTGTGGGGAGCCCGGTGCCCACGCCCGCCCGCCCTGGGGCCCCATTACCAGCTGACGAGAAGGGCGGCGATGCAGCTCCAGGTGACGCAGCCTCCCCCGGGCGGGGGGCTCTTGGCTCCCGGGGGCTCGGGGGGCCGGCAGCAGCAGACGCGGATGAGGTAGGCAGCGATG